GGAGCTTGAAGCATTCGAGAGGCGCTATGAAATTCGTTAAAAATACCAAAACCAGCGGACGACTCTATTAGTGATCCATCTGTGAAGAACGATCTTGCAGAATCAACTTGGCCAAACTTTGCAGCGTAAATTGACGGAACAATCATGGAACGATGATGTTCTGGGATTCCACGAATCTCCCGCGTCATAGATAAATCAAAACTAACTGAATTGCCGAAGTCGGAGAAGCATACACGATGGGGATTATGCTGTGAAGGGCTGACATCCTGAGTTATGTACACGTAGTACAATGACATAAAACGAGTTTGAGGGTTTAGCTCAAGAAGCTTCTCAAAGTTTTCGATTACCAGTGGGTTCATAACTTCACAACGGGTGAGGAGCCTGAGGGACAATTCCGAAAACCGATCCGATAGTGGCAACATGCCCGCCAACACTTCGAGACTCATCGTATGAGTCGAGTGCATGCATCCTAACGCGATACGAAGACAACGATACTGGATCCGTTCCAGTTTGATGATGTGAGTTTTAGCCGCCGACTGGAAGCAAAAACTACCGTACTCCAAAACCGATAAAATCGTTGTCCGGTACAACGTTAGAAGATCTTGCGGATGAGCTCCCCACCACGTTCCGGTAATTGTTCGGAGAAAATTGATCCTTTGTTGGCATTTTCGTCTCAGATACTCAATGTGGGATCTCCAGGTGCATTTGGAATCGAACCAGACCCCAAGATATTTGAAAGACATGGAATGAGTGATCGGCTTACCCAAAAGTTGAAGCTTCGGTTGTGCTGGGCTATGCTTCCTAGAAAAAACGACCAACTCAGTTTTCTCCGTGGAGAATTCGATACCTAGCTGGATAGCCCAAGTAGACAAATTGTCTAAGGTATCCTGTAAGGGTCCTTGCAGGTTGACCCCTGTGGGCCCTGTCATAGAAACTACGCCATCATCTGCAAGTTGTCTCAACGTGCAGTTGTCACTTAGACAATTGTCAATTTCTCTGACATAGAAATTGTACAAAAGGGGGCTTAAACATGAGCCCTGGGGGAGACCCATGTAACTAAATCGAGAAGCTGTAGAGTTTCCATGAGAAAAGCTCATATGTTTCTCTGACAGCAAATTGTACAAAAAGTTATTAATTAATGGGGAAAGGCCACAAGCGTGGAGTTTGTCTGAAAGGACTTCAACCGATACTGAATCAAAAGCCCCCTTAATATCCAAGAAGACAGAAGCCATTTGCTCTTTATTAGCAAAAGCCAACTGAATTTCAGTGGAAAGCAACGCGAGACAGTCGTTCGTTCCCTTGCCCCTACGGAAACCAAATTGAGTATCTGAGAGTAGGTGGTTCGTCTCAACCCATTTGTCGAGGCGAAAAAGGATCATTTTCTCCAACAATTTTCGAATGCACGATAACATCGCGATGGGACGATACGAGTTATGATCTGACGCGGGTTTTCCAGGCTTTTTAATGGCTATAACTCTCACTCGCCTCCAATCATCTGGAACAATATTGAACTCCAGGAACTGACAAAACAAGTTCAACATGCGCCTCTTAGCGACGTCTGGGAGGTTCTTCAACAAGTCGAACTTGATCCTATCAGCCCCCGGAGCCGAATTGCGACACGAAAGGAGCGCGAGTGAGAGCTCCAGCATTGAAAAAGGCTGGCTGATCTCGTCTACCGAATTCGTCGTTTCGCGAGGAATCATCTGTGCCGGCACGGAATCAGGACATACTTTTCGCGTGAACTTGAGAATCCACCGATCCGAGTACTCCTCGCTCTCGTTGTTTGAAGACCGGTTACGCATCCTTCGCGCCGTGTTCCAAAGCGTATTCATCGACGTTTCGCGCGATAAACCGTCCACGAATTGCCGCCAGTATCCGCGTTTCTTGGCTTTGATGAGGCTCTTGAGTTCGTGTTCAAGAGTCGAGTACGCTTCGAAATACTCGGGTGTTCCGCGTTTCCGGAAAAGCTTAAACACGTCGGACTTTTTACGATAAACCTCAGTGCATTGCTGGTCCCACCAAGGGGTAGGAGGTTTCCTACGAAAAGACGTTCCTGGAACCGGCCGAGTTTGAGCTCGAAGTGCGCTGTCCAAGATCAGATTGGAGAGGAAGTTATATTCCTCCAACGGTGGAAGCTCTTCTACCGACGACACGGCTTCATCTATCGCGGTCTTGAACGTTGTCCAATCGATATTACGGGTGAGGTCGTACGCGACGTTAACGGATTCCGACGAATTGAACCCACTGGCAATCGAAATTTTGATCGGCAAGTGATCACTACCGTGGGGATCCTGGATCACATTCCACGTGCAATCCAACGATAATGAATTAGAGCAAAGTGTGAGGTCTAATCTACTTCCATTTGAGGATGGACCAGCCAGACGTGTTACTTCTCCATTGTTAAGAATTGTCATATTGAAGTTATCACAGAGGTCATATATCAAAGTAGAACGGTTGTCATCATACAGTTCCCCCCAGCCTGTACCGTGGGAATTAAAATCTCCCATAATCAACCGTGGAGTAGGAAGAACTGAACAGATATCTGAAAGTTGTTTTTGACTCATCGAAACTCGGGGAGGAATATACACAGAAGCAATACAAAGGCTCTTGCCTTTAACAAAAGCCTGACATGCGACAACTTCAATACCTGGAAATTGTGGAAGATTCACTCTATAGAAGGAATGGCACTTTTTGATCCCCAAAAGTACTCCTCCTCCACGCGAATCCTCACGATCCAGTCGAATAATGTTAAAATCATGAAAAGGAAGATCGATATCTGAAGAGAGCCAAGTTTCACACAGAGCAAATGCATCACAATCGTTATTGTGAACCAAAAACTTAAACGATTCTATCTTAGGAATAAGACTTCGACAATTCCACTGTAGAACAGTGATCAAATCCCCGACCTCGTTTGGAAAATTATCCATCGAAGGAGATGATTGCTGCAAGGAGGGGCCACTTTAATGTCAACTGCTTCAAGAGGGTTTTCACAGTAGGAAGCATTGCCAGAACAATGCTTTTCAGAGGATCAGAAATATCGAGGTAATTGAGGATACTGTCCACAATGTTATCAAATGAGAACAACCCAGATGAAGAAGGGGCTTGTGTTCTGAAAATTGGGGCATCGGGGGTTTTGGATGTCCCCGGGAGAGGTGGAAAATCCTGGGTATAATCAGTTCTGCGGAATCCAGGAGGAGTTGAAGTCTCCTTTTTTCCACCACTCCTTGATTTGGACAAGCTGATTTGGGGTTCTTGATCTGCAACTTTCCGCGAACGGATGCGTTTTCGTTTCCGGGCAGAACCTTCCGGAAAACTGAAAGAAACTCCCTCCTCAGCCAAGTCAGAGCCAGACTCGTCATCTGACAAAAGAGCGAAGGGATTTGTTTCGTTGGTCGATGGCTTGGCTGTCTTAAGCATTTCTGCAAAAGACCGCCTGGAACGTTCTTTAAGAGAGCGCTCTAGTTTTTCCCCGCGTTGTTTGTACACCGGACACGACGAGAGACCATGAGGAGGAGATCCTTTGCAGTACACGCATTTTGGTGCCGTGACTGTGCAGGCGCCATTCTCGTGCTTCTCCCCGCATTTGGAACAGCGTGCCTTGCTGCCACAGTGGGACGCCGTATGTCCCAACTGCTTACAGTTTTGGCAGTTCATGACCCGGGGAACGAACAAGCGCACAGGTAGTCGAAGTTTTTCCAGCTCGATATACTGAGGAAGGGCTGAACCAGAAAAGGTCACGCGAAACGAGTCTGTGGGGGTAAAACTCTTTTTGCCCTCGCTGACAGATACTGAGCCCAGTTTTTGGACATCCAGTATCTTCACCGGGGGGAGCAAGGGGTTCTTGAAACGGCCAACCGCCTGCTTCTCCAAGATCTCGGGGGTCAGACTCGCTTCGGTGACCACACCTTCGATCTCCACATCACGAGCTGGGATGTAAACTCTGTACTCGAGCGTGAAGAGCTGGGAGGCAGCAATCTCGTTAGCCTGCTTCAGGTTAGAGACGGAGACACGAAGTTTATTGTGCCTAACCTTCGTGATTTCAGTCACGGCCGAGTATCGCTTCGTCAGATCAGTGGAAATTTGCATCAAGTTCAAAGGTTTGTTTTTGGGCTGAAAGTAGACAACCCATGGCCCAGTCGAGTCATCTGGATAGGCTCGCGATCGGGGGCTTTTCTGAGACGAACCATGAATGACAGGACGTTTTCGTCTTTTCTTGCCATCGAGTGGCAAACTGGTGTCATCTTCCGACAAAATGTCCATATCGTCTTCTGACGAGACGTCCATTTTGCCGTACTAGTGGGAGCGGTAAACGCTCTACCACTGAAACGATGCTTGAAACCACACAGACACAATAAACAGAAAAAAAAATTACAAACACAGAAACACAAAATTAAATTTAACTGATGGGCGAGAGAAAGAAACAGGAAAAAAAAAAAACTTATCTGCTATACTACTACCACCGAGTGATTACACAGCAGCAGCGGAGCGACGCGCAGCGTGGGTGACCTTCGATGCGCGTGTGCGGGCGATCTTTGTAATGGTGTGCTTGTATTAGGCTCGGCACTCAGCTGGACACACGATGATGGATGACCGGTATAAATGCGGAGGCAGATGCTGACACTCGTTGACGATGATCTGTGTGCCGGTATGCGTGATCACGCACCGATGGTGCGCAAAATGGTTGGCGAATTGGCAATCGCAAAAACAATTTTCCTTCCGATGATGCCGAAAACACACTTTCTTCTCAGAAAAAAACTCACTTTCAGATAATTGTTGAGCCGGGTACTATGCCAGTAATCACTAAGCGAGAAAAAACTGATAATTTAAACCAACCGAATACCGAGAAAACTTCCGAAATACCGGAGCGCGAAACAAGTCGACTGTACTTCTTGCTAGGTCGCAGTGGGGTGAACACTCGTTTCAAGGGTTCAGGTGCTGCGGTTGTTTAGATTTTTGTTGAGCATTTGAAAAGGCAATCCAGTTTTCTACAACTTTGTCTCAGATGGCGTGAAAATGCTCAGTTGGGTGTCCCTCGGAGAAATTTAAACCGCTTCCATAGTAAATATTACCCATACAAACTTCAAACCATTTGCGCGACATCTAAACCTTAATAAATTTTTCAAAATGCGTGTCCCGACTCATATTTTGGGGTTAAGAATCAACTGGAGTGTGGCCTATCAAAATGAAGCACGCTACTGTGCAACCTTCCAGCTCACGAAAAGCATATCTTACCATGTGCCTCATCGGCACACCGAATTTGCTTCTTGAAGTCAACCAACTCATGATGCCAATTCAAACAAAATTTGTACCATGGGATTCCCAGGATGTGAATCAGTGAACCAATATTTTTTCCTAGCTTTCTACATCCGTATAACTGGTTCCAAAACTGACCTATCTCAGTCGATTGGTGGAATTTCAATTAACAACCAGCTACAAAACCGGCTTCGTTGTGTCTGTCATTCATCAAGTTTGTTTATCACCAGTATGGTGGAGCTTAGCTACGTGATCGTTTGTAAGTTCATTCGTTTGCCATGGCTCGTGATAAGCTGACACATTTTTTCTCGGAATTGGTACTTGCGGTAGTTGTTTTGGCCGGATCATCCTTACAGCAAGGTTTGCATCATCAGTTAATTTTAAACTTGAAGAGATTTCTACGGTGCACGTGTTGATTGGTGTTCATTGCAGATGACCTTCCTCTGGTTTGGGAGGTATACAACAGCTGTGACATCCCGAATGAAGCGGTGAAGGGAATTTGCGTGAATCCTGAGAATTGTCTGGCTTTTCAGAATATTACCATAGGAGAAGAGCTTGGATCCGTTGGTAGGCTGAGCTTCGTGAGCGCAGTGCAGTGTGAATCGAACAATGAGACGAGAGTTTGCTGCCCGCAAAGAGGTGCCTATAAGGATCCTCAGCTGTCGACGGACGTGCCACGGCTGGAGAGGACTCCAAAGCCACACATATTGCTTCGGTTTGATTTGAACGACTCATGTGGACAGCAGCAAGCATACCAGGATAGGATACAGGGAACGATGACTGACATTGACGAATTTCCTTGGGCGGCTTTGCTGTTTTATCGGAACAACTTTCAGGGCTGCGGAGCAGTGCTGATCAGCAGGACATTTGTGATGACGGCTGCGCATTGTCTGGTTGGACCGAACTATGACCAGTTTGGACCACTGTGAGTATGGTGTGATTGCGAGTGTTTTGGAACGGTGTGAAAGGAAGTTTGTCGGAGGCAGTAGGTTGGATTCCCGTTCCGAATGTGAGTCTTTTCGGAATGGTCGCTTCTATGCGTCCCTGCTCGCCAGATAATGTACAAAATTATGGAAAGGTAGCCATGATGCCTGTAGAAATCCTAAAAAGAACACTAGGCTGTGGACAGGGCTAGTTTCAAAAAGAATAAGAAGATAAGCAGAAAACTATGATGTTCGCTCTGACGGATGCAGCCTATACCGAGAAGTCGTACCTACGAGCACATCAAATTTCTCTTACATCCAATGTATGGTTGTATTTTTTATATAGGTACTCTGCATATGTTTCATACAACAAGTTTTACTGAGTGTACTGAATCACTTGTTTATTTTTGGAGATTTTTAGCTTCCTGTTTCAATACTGTAAAATTGGTAAAATTGAATAATTCCCTTCTCTATTTATTTCCAATAAATGTTTTACAATCATCATCACAGAGTGGCACCGGTGGTGGTGTAGTGGTAAGCGTGATAACCTCTCACCCCAGCAGACCTGGGTTTAATCGGCGCCGCTGGGATGTTCTGAGGCATAATATATCTGGTCACGCCTTCTTTCGGAAGGGAAGTAAAGCCGTTGGTCTCCGGTTCATGAGTTGATGGGTCGATAGGTAGGGTCCAAGTGTGGGAGCTGCCTCTCTGGCGTCGTACAGTGGGACGAATTCAAAAAAAGTGAGACATGACTATTTGCGACGAAACTATTGAGTTTACCTTTTTGTTGTCTTCTAGAATGTTTCTTTATTTTTGAAGTACTTTATTTTAGTAGTGAAAATTTTTGGTTAAGGAGGGTATGCACTCAGATAAAAAAAATAACTTTTATATGTCTTGTTAAATTTGATAAACACCTATGGAAACATTGAAGATGAAGTCTTTTTAAGAAATTTTGTCCAAGGTTTAAACTTTCTATCTGGACTTTCTAGTGGACGAAGTTATAGGGTGAAAATGGACTACAAACGGTAGTACCCCTTAAAAACCGTTTTTTCACCATATTTTTTTTACTGTTCTCGTTTTTTAAATATTCTACAAAGTTGTAAGTGCTTAGAAAGTGCACATTTTTGTAGAGGACAGTAAATCGCTATCTCTTTGTTGAAAAGATTTACGCCAGTTTCTACAATTTTTTTACACTATCTCTAAGAGGGTGTATCTTGCAGGTCAGCAGGTATTAGCAGCTAATGATAACGTCATTTCATTCAGCAACTTATAACTTACTGTTTCATATACAATTCATAGGGGGATCCAAGGGGATGCTTGATAAATTTTCAAAAAAATGTACTTCAATGTTTTGTTACGTTTTGCTGTTTTCATGAAATTTTTTCGAAGTATGTACATACATACATGAAGTATCGAAGTATGTACATACATGAAGACAAAAAACGTGTTGCTTACTGTTAATTATGACAAAAGAAATCATTATGGTGAACATTTGCACTAGCTATCAATATTAAATGGCAATACAGCAGCTGGAAACACATTTATTTAAACTTATTTGCGTTTAATCCCGTAATTGATGTGGGCACTAACGAATCCAGGAAAAATCATCAATTTAATTTTTGTATTGTTTTTTTTTTTCCGTGCATGCTGTCATTCAGTCAATTTATCCGGCTTTAGTTTGACAGGTTTTCAGAAGTGATTTTTAAGAGTATAGATATGTTGAATCATCTGAGATCAGAGTTGTGTGGTGTTTGGTTTCAATCAGATCCATAAAAGAGAAATTATAGTGTTTTGGAGTATGTTAAGAGAAGAGTATGTTTAGAAGAAGAAGGAATAGAGGTCATTCCCTGAATCACGTTCTACTCGAGATATTCAGCCAAAGAAAGCTTTCGACGAACTGACTGTTCGGAGCAAGAGAAGACGGGTTGCTGATCTCAGACAGGAAAGGTCTGCTTCTAAGCTTTCATTTGCTGCGCAAATGAATGCGCGCAGTGAAGGTAATAAAGATACTGCTAAAAGCATGGAAAGCACAAAATGTGGCACCAGCTAAACTTGCACGGAAACTAACAGAAGAGGAAGCATTATGCTTCTATGTTGATGAGACAAAACAATAAAATATGTAACGTTCTTCAACTCTATCCATCGTACCCAGTTCTCATGAAAGCTCGTGAAAAATGTATTCCATCGAAGGAATATATATCTGTTTCGGAATCAACTTCCGAAGTTAAGCTTCAAGCTCTTCTTGATCATACGGCCAAGCAGCTCGTTGTACTTCAAGATGAAGTATTATTAACTATCACTGACGCTGAACTGATGGATCTTAAACTGATTTCAAAATGGGGCTTTGATGGAACCTCTAGCCAATCTAGTTATAAACAAGGCTCTACAAACAAGATGTTTGACAATAGTTCAATTTTTGTCACATTTTGGTTCCTTTACAAATGCGTGTTAAGTCTTGCCCTTCAAAAATAGTTTGGCAAAACATCCGGTCATCATCCACAAGGTTCTGCCGCCCAATAAGGATCCAGTTTGCCAAGGAAACTAAGGGACTCACCATAAGTGAAAAGCAAAGTGTAGATGACCAATTAGCACATTTAAATTCAACAACCACTCAAAATTTCACATGTTTTCAATTAAACATTAGTCACACCATATGTAGCATGGTAGATGGTAAAGTTTGTAGTCCTGTGTCTGAACTATCATGTCAAAGGTGCTATGCATGTGGAGCATCACCCAAAGAATTTAATGATATGTATGGAATACAAAAGAAAACTCCAAGATGTAGGGTCATAGAGATGAACTAGCCAACGGCTAAAAATCTCTCTAATAAAGTTAAAAAAAAACTCCAAGATGTTTAATTTCGGAATCTCCCCGCTGCATTGTCATGTTCGGTAATTTTATATTAATATACATAACATTGATATAGCTTATTTAATGTAATATTATACAAATAAGGTTTATGGAGTGCCTGCTGCATATTGCATACCGGTTAAATGTACCGTGTTGGCAGGCAAGGAAACCTCATGGAAGGAAAGTGTCGCGGGTCGTAAAAAGCACATCCAAGAAGTTTTTAAAAATCAGACAGTCCTTATAATCGATGTTCCCCAACAAGGCTCTGGTTCATCAAATGATAGAAATACAGCCAGAAGATTTGTTGAGGATGCGTCAGTTTCAGCATCAATTACGAGACTAAACGCGGAATTGATTGAGAGATTTTACAACATTTTATCAGTAATTTCTTCGGGGTTCAAAATCAATGCAGACAAGTTTCAAATGTATTGCATTGAAACTACCCAACAATATGTGAAGTTATACGGCTGTTTAAAAAGGGCATCCAGCGTACATCGTGTTCTGATTCACGGCGCAGACATTATAAGAGCTTCTATTCTTCCAAAAACTTTCTAGAATCAAAAGTTTTCGAGAACATCGGGCAAGGAAATGTTCACGGTACAGATATGTGCTTTTTATATTTTCTAATAATATTTAAGCTTTATGTTTTTTTGTTGTATTCAACAGTGTAGCCACAAATCAAGACATTTTAAGCCGACTGATGGTGTCTTCAGACCCATTGATTTCATCAATGCAAAAGATTCCTAGAAGGAAAAGCATTCCATTCAGAGGAGATGCATTGAAGTTTTTGAAAGAACCGAGTATTTAAAAGAATGAGATGCCATGTTCATCCAGTGATGAAGATTGGGAGGAGAACGATCAACTGTTATAATAATTGGAACCAATTAAGAATCAAAAGAGTTTGAATAAATGTTTTATCACCTGCTTAATTTCCGTTTACTTTTGATAGCTAGTGCAAATGTTCACCATAATGATTTCTTTTGTCATAATTAACAATAAGCCATACGTTTTTTTTGTCTTAATGTATGTATATTCTTGGAAAAATCTTCATGAAAACAGCAAAACGTAGCAAAACATTGAGGTACATGTTTTGAAAATTTATTAAGCATCCCCTTGGATCCCCCTATGAATTGTATATGAAACTGTAGGTTATAAGTTGTTGAATGAAATGACGTTTTCATTAACTGCTAACACCTGCTAATCTGCAAGGTACACCCCATTATGGATAGCGTAAAAAATTTGTAAAAACTGGCGTAAATACTTTCAACAAAGAGATAGCGATTTACTGTCCTCTGCAAAAATGTGCACTTTCTAAGCACTTACAACTTTGTAGAATATTTAAAAAACAAGATAATTCAAAGAAAAAAGTTATGGTGCAAAAACGGTTTTTAAGGGGGTACTACCGTTTGAAGTTCATTTTCACCCTATAAGTTCGTCCACTTGAGAGATAGAAAGTTTCTTTAAAAAGACTTCATCTTCAATGTTTCCATAGGTGTTCATCAAATTTAACAAGACATAAAAAAGTAATTTTTTTTTATCTGAGTGTATACCCTCCTTATCCAAAAATTTTCACTACTTAAGTACTTAAAAAATAAAGAAACATTCTAGAAGACATCAAAAAGTTACACTCAATAGTTTCATCGCAAATAGTCATGTCCCACTTTTTTTGATTTCGTTCCACTGTGCGTCGGTAGCATTGGTGTCAAAAGTAAAATCAAGTAGATTTTTCATTATGGCAGCGATCAAAATCAGAAAGTATAAACGGACCTTAAGCACAACCCGCGCAGTACCTCTCTTTTTTAATGGGTTTGAACAAGAAATGGAATATTTCTGTCAAAGATGACTTCTAAATTTATTCCCCTTTCCATACGTACCGTTGGATTTGACAACGAGTTACACATTTGTAACCAGTGGTGTGTCTATCTGTCTAAGATTGTTGAGATTGTCGCGAATTTAGTGTTTCGATTTAAATGTTATGAATGCCAGGAAAGGATTCAAATATTAGTGCCAACACCGCCCACCACCCACTGGACAGCACGCAACACTCCACGAAGTTCCGCTACTCACATCCAGATGCCGCTGACAGCAGGATTGGATGGCCATCGGGAGGTGGTGTAAAGGGGGCCATGATGGGGCGAAATTGGGCTGAAGG